TATTAACGAGGTTTCATCCAAGCATCATCAATTAAATTGTAAAAAACGAATAATTTTCTCAATGTTTTTTATTTTAATTGCATATCTTCTAAAGGCTTTAGCTGAATTTCATGGGTAAATATAAAATTAAGCTTCTGAAATCCTTAATCTATAAATTTTGTATTAATTTTCCAATAGAATAACTTTTGGTCCTTTATTATTAATTATTCTTGAAATTAATATCAAAGAACTCTCAACATTGACATTTATAGCGACTTTTTCGCAATAAAGCTATAGACAACACTACACAATACTCGCCCTCTCCCATCACACAAACCCACAACCCACACAACAACACAGTTAAATTCACTGAGTACTTCCTCCCCAATACCAATTAACGGACAATGTATTTGCAAAACAATGCACCCTGTACATTGTGAGAGTTTTGTTGACGAGAGAAACAAAATAAAACAAAACGAAGAGAGCATCAACAGAAAAGAGTGATGCCATAGCAAAGAAAAAAAAAACAAACAAAGAGATTCCATTAAAGGTTTTTTTAAAGAAAACAAAAGCTTATGAAAATGTCATTTAATGTAATTGAGAATGTTAAAAGCAGGGTTTAGATTATATTTTTAACATTTTTTTATATAAATGCAAAAGAGCAGGGGGTGGTAGGGGGGGAGAAAGAGGAAGTTTAAAAAATCGTCAAAGATATTGGGATGTTTATGTTAGGAGTTTATATTTCTCGTTCATTCCAGTGGTGAGCAAACGATGCAAACAAATTTTGATTTAGCTATAGTAAGTAATTCGTTATGACTCGTTTATTCATGAGGTGTGAAAAATTGTTAAAAAATAATAACATTTTCGTTTTTTTTTTTTTAAAGAAAAAAAAATTCAAAATTATATTTGTAATTTTGTGGAATAAATTTTAGAGTCCTACTCTTTTGGTTCCACCCTTTTATCCGCAATTGCTTTTAAAAAGTCTCGTAAATAGTAAAATGTGAAATTTCATAACAATCAAAGACAAAGTTGTTGCTCGCCATCGAACATACAAAGTTCGAAAGGCAGTCGACGCAACAGCCAGCCAACCAACCATCGCAACGCAACAGCCAACCCAACTCAGAGCAGAGCAGAGAAGGCAGTGCATCACCGTGCGCCATACGTTATGCGACATAACGTGGCGATAACTCGCACAAAACCGCATTTGGGTTCCAGCGTTATGTCGTTGGGATTTATTTTCAAACGGAATTACGAGGTTTTTGTTTTCTGTCCCTGCTCACTGGCTGTTACGCTCGGCAATAATAATGAATCTGTGAAATGTAATTTAAATTCATTGTAGCTACGATGTAACCGAGGCACGAGCGAGCGAGCACAAGACGAATTATTGAGCGATACTTTTAACGAGATTTTGTTTTTAGGGTTGCACTTTTTTTCCTGGCATTTGCAAAGACAATCGGGTGGATGGATAGATGTGTGAGTGGGGTGGTTTATTTATATGTATGGGAGGAAAAAGGTCATTTGGGGGTAGATGAATGTTTAATTTTTTTTTTCGTTTCATGTCTTCCAGTTTGATATCAGTTGTGTGTATGTAGGTATGTATATATGTACGTAGGTGGTGTTCCCATTGATATTAACACCATTGACTTTAATACCTTTTTCAAAAAAAAAAAAAAAACAAAAAAAAAAAATATGCGTCAATTCGTTGTTGGCAAAACTTTTTTTCTCTCCCTCGATTTCCATTTACTTGCGATTTTTTCTCCTCAGTTTCCTCAATAACTTTAGAGCAGTAAAAGTTGTTTTTTCTTTTCTTTGTTCCTCATTGATAAGTTTCGTTGTTGTAAAATGTGTGTGCGGTAAGGAATAAAAAGTGTTTGAAAGAAAATTAAGGAAATATTAAAACGTGTCTATGGAATATTAAAAAACGCATAGATGCTGTACAGGATGTAGGTAGGCGTTGAAAGGGTTTTTGTGGACATATATATGTGTATGTACATACATTGTGTAAATGGAATGTCTTGGGAATTATTGGATTAGAAACAACTTGGGGTTATGCTTCATGGTTGAGTGTTTCTGCGGGGGAGGGTTTTTTAGGGATTATTGCAAATTAGCATGGAATTAAGGAAACAGGAATGAGACAAATTTTGTTCCTCTCTGCCTTAAGAAAGCAAAATGTTAACCATCAAGCCATGGGAGAGCTTGGTAAGATCCTCAACCTGTAAGTAAACAACTGAAAGCCTCAGAGACAACCGATTTCGAAGGATGAATCTCCTTTAAAAATTGAAATCAGTCTGGACAGTAGTTGATGCATACTTTTAGGGGTTATTTTTGAAACCCCTCCAAATATTCGTTTCCGATAGAAACAATGTGTACAATTTTGTATAAAATTATTTTTTTGTATGAACTGATATTGATGCATACTTTTAGGCGTATTTTTTTCAAGACCTCGATGTATTCGACTGATACCTTACCAAATTGTACAATTTTTTATTAATGGCTTCTGACAAAAGTTGCGTATGCAGGTCCACGTTGTCGTATATGCCCTATTATCCTATGTATGGTATTAAAAGTTCGGCTCTACTGAACTTAAATCTTTCTCACTTGTTATTTATTATTAGTGACTTTTTCACAATTGTATTTTTCTATTTTTTGGAGTATACTTTTAGGCGCTTCGCACCACTTTGAAACTAAAAAGGAAGTCATTGGAGTATTATATGGAAAAAATGTTTAAAAATTGCTTTAATTTTATATTTTGGACTTCTTATCGGACGAATTTTCTATTGGGCGACAAATGTCAATACAGGTCCACCACATTTCGATTTGAAGTATTTTGGAGATTTCAAATATATTTTGGAACCACATAAGATGAAATTTGATAATTTACGTTCTCAGTGCTTCCACCAGAGAATTTGCACTCATGAAAGTCCACTTCTAAGTATTGCCCTCATATAAGGGCTTTTGTCTTTTCGAATTTGTTCAATCAGCCAAAAAACCATTTTTGATTTCGACTCTAAAGTCAATTTTTATTTTAAATAAATTATTTGACAATTGGACGGACATTTAAATCAAAATAATCAACAAAAACGATGATTTTGCGATCTTTCGACTTTGCCTTCAAAAAAAAAAAAAAAAATCATGTTTTTGCCCAATCAGCAAAAAAAAATAAACGATTCTTGAGTTCGACCTTTTAAACAAAAGTCGATTTCTATTTCTTTTACCTTTTTGCGGGAATTGAAATCAGGATCAAATATTTAAATAGTAAAAATGTGATAGGGATTGCATGTTTTTAAGCTCGTTTGAACAAAAAAAAATAAATTATATTATCTCAAAATCAAACATTTTTTACTGCAGTTAAAAGTTGACTTCGACTTTTAGGCTTTCCAATACCAAAGGCCGAATGATCGTGAAATGGGAAGTCGATTCACATAAGTGTTACGTTAACAAAAATTTCGATACTAGCCTTCAAGAAGAACTCTGACATTTGGAATTTTCGATTTTTTCCGATCAATAGAAAATCTACCCTGAGCGACAACATTCATTTTTTTCTATGATTAAAGGAGAAATCCAGTAGATTGTGAAAGTGGAGCTAAAAATAGGAGTCATGTATGTCTGCGTTTTGAAAGTTTCCCTCGTAAAGTAACCGAAATAGAGAGGAAAAGTTCTCCCCTCCAATGCATTTTTGGAAATTTTCGGACTAAGATTCCTTGGAATCCACGCATTTTTGGTATATAGTGTCCTGGGCAATATTACAGATAACACTACAAAGTTTATTTAGGTCAGTAATTTTAACCCCCAAGCGAGTCACTAAAGGGACTTTCTGATCATTTTTTTTTTCAAATATAGTTAAATACTGCCTTTAAACGGATTCGTAGCAAGTGAAATTTTCTACAAAATTACGTGTCATACAATTCTACTATATGCTCTAGAAGACATCAAAAGTCTTTAGCTTACCAAAGGGGTCTTTTTGGTAATGTTCTCAAAATATGGTTAAAACTCCCATTAAATGGGATGGTAGCAAGTCAAAATATTTTAGAAAATTAATTGACATAAAATTCGACTATAGATCCTAGAAGATGTCAAAGGTCTACATCTTACCCGAACGCCAGGAATTCATATATTTTAAAACTGCATTTTAGGATTAAAAGCCGTACTTTATGTGAATTAATGCAAAGTTCTCCCACAGAACATCATTTTAGAAGGATGACGTTAAAGACAAAAATGTTCTCCATTAAATTTCACTATAGATCACCAAGGAAAAAAAATCTCTATTTCTATTATAAATAAAAAATTTTTGCATCAATGTTGCCAACAAATACTCAAAAATATTTCCTAATTTTTTCATCATTTTTTTTTTTTGGTATTTTTTCGGCAAAAAGTGTCAAAGAAAGAAATATTCTACATAAAATTTAAGGATAAATCTCAGAATAAACCATGTATCTAGGTTTAATAGTTTTTATAAAAATTGTATTCGAAACGTATGTATTTAAAGTGAAAATTATGTGCTTAGATTTTTTCTCTTAATTTAACACTTTTCCATTTTACGAAAAATCTTAATATTTGATTTTTTCGATAAGGTATCAAAGGAATAAATATTCTGTATCGAATTTCAATGTGAGTCTCCGAACAAAAGAACTTTGTATAATTAATAAATACCACAAAAAATATCATGCATTTCGGTTTATAAAAAAAACATTTTTCATTTTTGGCAAATGCCACACTTTTTCCTAAATCGCTGTAAACTTTTTTATAGTTTCACTACCCAATAGCCACTCCAGGCTTTGAAAAATGCAAGGCGGATTTGATGGCACTCGGTGTGTAGATCGAATCCCTAAAATAGTTACGAGTTTTAAGGGTAAATTTTAATTTAAGCTTTCCTTATGGTAAAGGGTATGAAGTCAATCTCTTTAGGAATTATACACTAATTTTTTCTCTTCTTCAGAGAGAGCGAGAGAATAAGTAATTTATAAAACACTTTTACCAGAAAAACTACAAAAAGTTATAAATAAAATCTCTCTTCCACTCACCTGAATACCATGAGCGCCACCTTGCTGTGAAATGTGCAACTGTTGCGTCTGTTTCATTTGCAACGTTGTTGTGGTGGTTTGTTGGGCCTGCTGCTGTTGTTGTTGCTGTGGCATATTTGGATTACCTTGCTGCTGACCGGCCGCCTGTCCATTACCGGGACCATTTAGATTCGGACCCGAATTCGGGCCATTTTGATTATTGATATTTGGTCCCGCGCTGCCCATGTTCGGTAAATTCTGTTGTGAGTTGGGACCTCGGGCATTGGCATTTTGTGGCTGTTGTTGTTGCGACTGTGGTTGCTGCTGCTGGACTGGTGACATGTTGGGTGGACCATTTGATGGACCACCTTGGTTGGGTCCCATACCACCAACACCGATGCCTGGTCCACCACGTGGTCCAGGTCCTTGCATAAAGTTTGGTCCCATACCACCTTGGGAACCACCGGGAATGCCAGGTCCGCCGGCACCACCACTTCCAGCCGGACCCATGGGTGAATTGTAGGGCGAGTATTGTGGTTGTTGGTTTGGATTCTGGGTTTGAGATTGCTGTTGTCCGGGACCATTGGGTTTGGGGAAATTACCCACACCAACGCCACCACCACCCATGGGACCATTGGGTCCCATTTTAGCCATATTGGCTTGTGACATATGCTGCTGCTGCTGTTGTTGTTGCTGCTGCTGCTGCTGCATTTGCTGTTGCTGCTGAAGACGCTTGAGATCGAATTCATTCTGCTGTGAGGAATAGTAGAGCTCCTGTTTAATGTCCAAGAAGGACTGCTGTACATTGTTGCCACCCATGGGACCACCCTGAGCCTTTTGCTGGAATTGTGGTGGTATGTTTTGATGTTGCGGATGCTGTTGGGGACCATTGGGACCCTGCATGAAATCATTGGGCCCACCAAAACCACCAACATAGTCATTGTAACGACCATTGGGACCACCACCGCCACCACCCATCATTTGATTCTGCTGACCCTGATGCATGGGCGGCCGGGGGAAATTCATGCCACCCATGGCATTCTTGTGCTGATGTTGTTCGGCCATTTGTTTAAGGGTTTGGGCGGCAAGTGATAATTCGGACATGGGTCCTGAGTTGGGACCATTCTGGAACTGGGAACGCATTTTGTTCATGCCTTGCGGATCATTGTTGGGACCACCCGGTCCCCCTCCCATGGGTCCGCCACCCATTCCGCTGCCAACATTGGGGCCACCTGGATTTGGACCTCCACCGCCTCCAAAGGCTGCATTAAACTGAGCCATGGCATTTTCCGACTTGACATTCAAGCTATCAATCAAGGCCTGTACATTGGGCGGTTCCACCTTAATGCCATCCTCTGTTTTGATGTCCATCAGGGGTTTCTCATCGAGGCCATCCAAAAAGCCAGGATTGAAATCTTGCAAGTCATTGATGAGATCCTTGAAGGTTTCATTGCCCACGGCGCCGTCGTCTCCCATGAATTCGGTAAAGGCGGGAAAGTTACTGTTCGGACCGCCATCCTTCTCCAAGCCGGCCAAATCGGGGAAATCGTGGTCCGGTTCACGTTTACACTCCACCAAATTGCCCAAACCACCCATGTTGTTGGGTTTCTGTTGTTGTTGTTGTTGCTGAGCTGCATTCATGTTATGGCCACCCATTAGATTCGAAGCACTGCCTGCACCACTGCCCATATGCATGCCACCGCGATTGTTGCTGTTGTTATTGTTACCATTATGTTGGGGATCACTGCCCTGGGGACCACCACCACCGCCGGGTCCACCGGTACCGCCTGGCCCACCACCGCTTGCACTTACACCCGGTTCACTTTTCACGGAGGTATTGGTCAGGGCTTTCACTGTGACATTGGTGCTTATCTGCTGGGGTTGAGAATTGGCCGCCGAGGTGGTGAACTCCAGTTGCTGGACAATTTCCACAGAGAATTTTAGATTCTCGGAGCCATTGTTGTTGTTGTTGTTATTATTGCTGTTATTGGAATTGTTGTTGTTGTTGGGCAATTTGTGGGGCGGTTCGAAATTTTCGGCACCATTGTCGGCATCGTCAGCGGGTCGTTTTAAGAACTTTTGTTGCTAGAAATGAGAGAAGAAATTGAAAAAATTAAAGGGTTATTAAATGGGAACAAAAGATTTTTTTAAATTATTTGAAAAATGTGAAAATAAATTTACCCAAATATTCATTAAAATAGTTTTAGCAGCTTAAGAGATTCACTAAGAGAGGGAGTTGGTTTTGTAGAGAGAATTTTGTAATCGATTTTTGTTTGGCTTAGGTGATGAGCTGCAATCGTTTGATTTATTTTTTGAGAATTTCGCCTGAAATTGAGTTTCTCGAGCTTTGAGTTTAAGTATCACGCCTTGTTGTTTTATTCTGGAACTGTGGGTGCGTGTGTTCAAGCTTAGCACTTTGCTTTTCTACTTTGTTGTATTTTATCTTTTAATGGGGCGAGAGCGTACGAGCGAGCGAGGTGTAGCGTTGTTTACGTTGATCAATTGAGGATTTGTTGTTGTTGTTGATTTTTTATAATTTTCGCAGATGTCTTCGTAGCTGAGTTTTTAAAACTTTTTGATTTCTGCACATTCTTTGTTGTGTTTTGAAGTCTTTCATGATTTGCTGTTGTTGTTGTTTTTGTTGATTTTAATGATTGGTGTTTCTATTTTTTCTCGGTGCTTTTTGAAGCTTTTGTTTAAAACGTAATTTGAGTTTTTTTGTTTTCTTAGAGGAATTTTCTTAAATGTTCTTTGGTTTATGGGTTAGCTTGTATTTTTTGGTTTGGATTTTCTTTTGTTTTGGAAGTTATCTTAATTTATAGCTCTGTGGAGATTGAAAAACAATTTAGTTTAATTTTTTTATATTTTTTCGTAAAAGTTATGAAGGAGGAAAAAATTCTCCGTTTTCCACACTTTTGGAAATTTTCAGATTAAGATTCCTAGGAATCCTTGCATTTGAGAGTCTTTGGCAATATTACAGCTCACAATATGAGGAATATAAAGGATCCTCATTAGATTATACCAAGATTTTAAACCTTTTTTTAATTATTCTCAAGTATTATTTTTTGAAAATCTTAAGGACTTCAAAAAAGGTTTGTGGACTTTTTAAAAAGAACTGTTACTATAGAAGAGCTCAAAGGATTTTTTGGGAATTATTTTTAAAGGACGATCAAAGACATTGTCTGACATTGTTTCTACAGGACCTTCTGACGGACTATTTTAGAAATCTCTGAAGGGCCTTCAAATACATTTTTAAGGTTTTTATGGATTTTTTCAGAAGGACCTGCATAGAATTTTTTGTTGGGGCAATAAATTGGATTTTTTTTAAAAAAATTTTTTCAAAGGACATTCAAGAGATTTCTAGGGATTTTTAAGGACTTCCAGAAACATCTGTGTGGATTTTTAAAACCCTTCAAAGGATTGTTTAGTGAATTCTATTTAAAGGGCCTTCTAAGATATTATCGTGGAGTTTTAAGGAACGTTTCTAAAGGACCTTCTAACGGACAATTTTTGAAATCACTGAAGGACCTTCAAATACATTTTTAAGGACCTTCATGGAATTTTCTTAGGGTTTGAGACAATTTTTCAAGAGACTTTCAGGGGCAAGAAAGTGGAATTTTCAAAGAATTTCATAAAGGACATTCAAGAGATTTCTAGGGAATTTTTAAGGAGTTTCAAAAACATCTGCGTGGATTTTAAAAACAAAATGTAAAATCCCTCAAAGGATTTTTTTAGAGAATTCTTTTTAAAGGACCTTCAAAGACATTATCATAAAGTTTTAAAGAAAGTTTAAGTTTAAGGGACAGTCACAGGGTTTTAGACAATTTTTTCGAAAAGATCTTCAGCAAAGGAAGGATTTTATATATATTCTTAAAGACATTTTAAAATGGCTTAAAATATAATATAATTGTATATAATTATTACAAAAAACCTTCCTTTTATAGGAATTATTTCCAAAGGATCTTCAGAAAAAAGAATTTTTTTTTTTGGAATTATTGGAAATTTCATCCCACTGAGATTTTCCAATTACTTCTCCCCATTTTTATTTGCCTCTTGAGGAGATTTCTGGGGGATTTTTATAAACTATCGGAAAGTGGAGGATTTTTAGAGAATTCTTTTTAAAGGACCTCCAAAGACATTATCGTGGAGTTTTAAGGAAAGTTCAAAGTTTAAGTTTGAGTGACAGTCACAGGGTTTTTAGGCGATTTTTCTAAAGGACATTAAGAAACAAGGATGTGGATTTTTTTAAGCAGAGGAAGGATTTTAAAGGATTTTTTAAAGGTGTTCCCAACATTTTAAAATGACTTATGAATACACAAGAACCTTGAAATTATACATTATAAAATTATTCTAAAGAATTTTGTTTAGGAATTTTTTGAAAAATGATTGAAAAAATTCATCCCACTGTGGTTTTGCAATTACTTCTCGCCCAATTTGTACTTCTCTATTGAGGACTATTCAGCTGTATCTGTATTATAAATTGATTTTCACCCTTACATTTTTTTAATTTTTATAGGAATTTTTTCCAAAGGATCTTCAGAGACAAAAAAAGTGTATTTTGTTTTCTGGGAATTATTGGAAAATTTCATCTCACTGTAATTTTCCAAATTACTTCTCGCCCCCATTTTTATTTCCCTCATGAGCTGTATCCGTATTATAAATAGATTTTCACCCTCAAATTATGACCAAAGGGGTATTTTTGGGCCTTTTCTCAAGATATCGTAGCAAGTTTTTTTAGCGTGTCAAAATATTCTATAAAATTATTGGCCACTAGATTCTGCTATGGCTTCCAGAAGACATCAAAAGTCTAAATATTACCTAGACGGCAGGAGTTCATGAATATTAAAACACCAAATTTAGGGTTGAAACCGTACCATAGGTGAAAATGATTGAATTCATGCAAAATTCTCCCACAAAATATTCTCTATTATATCTCAAAAAATATTTGGAAAAATGTTGCCAAAAAAATATTTCCCAATATTCTACATAACATTTATATTTATATTTATATAAATATAAATATAATATTTCCTAATATTCTACATAACATTTATATTTATATTTATATTTATATTTATATTTATATTTATATTTATATTTATATTTATATTTATATTTATATTTATATTTATATTTATATTTATATTTATATTTATATTTATATTATATTTATATTTATATTTATATTTATATTATATATTTATATTTATATTTATATTTATATTATATTTATATTTATATTTATATTTATATTTATATTTATATTTATATTTATATTTATATTTATATTTATATTTATATTTATATTTATATTTATATTTATATTTATATTATATTTATATTATATTTATATTTATATTTATATTTATATTTATATTTATATTTATATTTATATTTATATTTATATTTATATTTATATTTATATTTATATTTATATTTATATTTATATTTATATTTATATTTATATTTATATTTATATTTATATTTATATTATATTTATATTTATATTTATATTTATATTATATTTATATTTATATTTATATTTATATTTATATTATATTTATATTTATATTATATTTATATTTATATTATATTTATATTTATATTATATTTATATTTATATTTATATTTATATTTATATTTATATTTATATTTATATTTATATTTATATTTATATTTATATTTATATTATATTATATTTATATTTATATTTATATTATATTTATATTTATATTTATATTTATATTTATATTTATATTTATATTTATATTTATATTTATATTTATATTTATATTTATATTTATATTTATATTTATATTTATATTTATATTTATATTTATATTTATATTTATATTTATATTTATATTTATATTTATATTTATATTTATATTTATATTTATATTTATATTTATATTTATATTTATATTATATTATATTTATATTTATATTTATATTATATTTATATTTATATTATATTTATATTTATATTTATATTTATATTTATATTTATATTTATATTTATATTTATATTTATATTTATATTTATATTTATATTTATATTTATATTTATATTTATATTTATATTTATATTTATATTTATATTTATATTATATTATATTTATATTTATATTTATATTTATATTTATATTTATATTTATATTTATATTTATATTTATATTTATATTTATATTTATATTTATATTTATATTTATATTTATATTTATATTTATATTTATATTTATATTTATATTTATATTTATATTTATATTTATATTTATTTCTCTCTCTCCTCTCTAGGTAAAAGTTATTCTTTAAATAATTTGTGTAAGAAGTCGGCGACGTCGATTTTCTTCGGCACCACTAACAGCAGCACCACCACCATAAAACCGCAAAACTAATTAAGCCTCTTGCAATTGATATTGAATAACATAATGCACATTCTCAAAGTACTCGGATGCAAACACATAAACATACACATGTAGACATACAAACATACAGTGGAATTCTGAGAAATCAGACTGGGACTTCAATTTTAAGCCGCTACCCAAAGGATTTGAAAAGAAAGACAGTTCATTTAGGGATTCGTGGAGATTTTTGAATGCCACAAAATGGGGTTCTACTGTAGAAAGACATTTTCAAATTATTTGAAAATTGTGCTTTTGTAAAGCATTCCATAATCATAAATCGAATTTTACGGATTCTCTTCCACTTCGTCAATGGTAATTGGTAAAGAGAAATGTTAATGCTTAAAAGATAACAAAATTTAAGTGTGAAGTGAGTAACTAATGCCATAGGCTCCCTTTCATGTATCCAATACATAAAGGGCAAAAAAACATTCAGAGATTCATAGAAGAAAACAAATGGTGACAGTGGACCGATTTTTCAGCAAAAAGTCCACCTAAAAATTTCAGATTCGTTCCACAGTTCGTGTTTGGCACTTTTAGTACTTAAAATCAGTTTGACAAACATTTCTTTATTAAAACTTCGTAGTATTTCTTTATTAAAACTTCAACTTCAACTACCCATCACTCAATACCTAATATAATACTTTTCGTACAATTATAGTACACATTTTCGAAGCCACC